TGGGATTGTAAACTAGTTCAACCATTATGGAAAACAGTATGGCGATTCCTCAAGGGTCTAGAACTAGATGTACCATATGACCCAGCCATCCCATTACTGGGTATATACCCAAAGGAGACTTTTTTTTTTTTTGAGGCTGAGTCTCGCTCTCTCACCAGGCTGGAGTACAGTGGCGCGATCTCGGCTCACTACAACCTCTGCCTTCCGGGTTCAAGTGATTCTCTTGCCTCAGCCTCCCAAGTAGCTGGGACTACAGGTGCGCGCCACAACACCCAGCTAATTTTTGTATTTTTAGTAGAGACGGGGTTTCAACATGTTGGCCAGGATGGTTTCGATCTCTTGACCTTGTGATCTACCCACCTCAGCCTCCCAATCTGCTGGGATTACTGATTCAATCTCCTTTTTTTTTAAGGCTTAAAATGTATTTTAACAAGTGATGCTGCATTGCTGCTCCATTTCTCAGAAAAACTTCAAATTTAAGGTATTAGCAACAAATCAAACATAGTACATCAATTAAATATGCACAGCATAACTACTAAGTTAGATAGGCAAGGCTAAGAGCTGCTCTCAGACTTTCAGCATCCAGCAACCCTGTTTCCAAGACTGTACTAGGCCTATCAAGGAAAGCTGTGAATAGCAACATCATAGACACAAAAGGGCCATTCCTGGGTTGTCCTCATCCAAGAAAAAGATTGAGGCAAGTTAACACAAGATTTTTAAAAAGGTATACTGAAATGAATCTCTAAGAGAAAATGTCTTCCTTAGGACATGAAGGGATAATATATGGGATATAAAAGAACTATACGTACATTGTTTGTGACCTCTGTGGACATTTGCCTGAATTCTCACCTGGGAGTGAATGGAGCAGTGGGGCGAAGGGCATTGGAGGAGGTTTGTTTTTTGTGGTATATGTGTGGTGTCTCTGGGGTTGGTTAGTGTATGGAGAAGAAAGCAAATGAAACAGGATGGAGAAAAAAGGAATGATCAAGATTAATGGGTCTCTAACTGGATTCATTTCACCGTGGTTCCCCCAGGTCTTCAACAGTCGCATTTGAGACTTCAGTAATGCACCACAGAGAATTTTCAGTTAAACAGTATACCACACAGAACTGGTTTGTTAAATACCACTCCTCCCTTGCTCTCTTCCTCCAAAATACTCCCTAGAGTAGTGTAGGTAGTGTAGACCTAACTATCGGGAGGAATCTCACTTTTCTAGGGTAGAATTCTGGCTAGTCCAAATGGGTCCTCTTAAAGGTTTTCAGGAACTAGACACTGTAACTTTATTAGTATCAGCAACGTGTGTTTGGAGGAAATTCAGCTTCAGGAGTTGCACAGTTCAATGCAGGAGGAGTTCCACCAATTGCCCCAATTCCTTCCATTGCAGCAGCTTGGCCAAAGCATTCCATCGTTGGTGAGGTCAACTAGCATCATAGGTTCAGGTTCTGGAAGAGCTGGGTTAACAGCTGGCACAGAAACAGGGGGCATGGTGCCTCTGTTATGCCCGTAGCACCTCCCGCAGCCATCTGGCACAGCTGTCTCTCCTGCTCTCTCATATCAGAGAAGGTTCCGGTGAATCTTTCCTACCATTACCAGTGCATCACTTCCTTCTAGTGCCTGCACTCCTCTCGCATGGGCTCCAGTTGCCGTCGTTTTTGCATCTCTTGGTTGTTCAGCTCTTCCATCCTCCACAGCTCTTCTTGGCACCTCATCAAATCCTGCCTCATTAGCATGACCTGGCATTGATGAAGGCAAGCAACCCCTATCTCCATCTCCAGCTTCTCATGAGCCTCCTTGATATTGTGATCCACTTCGTCCTGCTGCTGCTTCTCCATCTCAATGAGCACCCTCCAGTGCACGGCATACTCATATTCAAAAGCCATGCTGTGCATACTGGGGTGGCTGTTCTCACTCCTTGTGAAATTGCTGATTTTTTACAACCAGCTTCTCTGGAAGTCCTTCTTTGTCACCTAATTAGCCTATGGGCTACACAGTAACAGGATGAAGAAATGTGGTTAGCAGGAAGCAGCCTGCACTTTCTGAGCAACTGGCTGCCCTGAGAACTCAACAGTGCCTTTCCCTGAGGGCCTTCCCTTGATCATCCACAGTGACTACAGCCCCCTCCACCTGGCCAAATAAAGAAAAGGCTTCTTCCAAAAGTTTGTTAGAAGGTTTCGGACTGCAAGGGATGCACTGTGGCAGGCAGAGTGCACACAGCTGCATATTGTCCAGACCCACTTTGGCAATCTTTACTAGGGTTTGTGCTTCCAAGTGCATAAAGTCAAAGCCTTTATCCTTATGAAGACCTCACCTGCCTTCCCATGTTTCTTTTTTGTTGTTATTGTTTTTAATTTTTTAATTTTTCCTTTTTGTTTATTTAAATCCTCTTTCTGTGAAATTGCCTTCCCGTATTTTTCACATTTCCTCATTTCCTCCTCAGTGATGTCAGAAGGAACACTTCCCACAAAGAAATAGCTTTGTTTGGTGAAGGGCTTCTTTCCTGGTTTCCTAAAATGCTTCGGGTCAATAGTCAAGCCTTCATTTTGGCTGCTGGCCTTTTTCCCATTTGCAGGTATTGGCAGCAGCGATGGCTGCTGCTGTTGCTGGGGATGCTAATAATGTTTCCCTAGAGCATGGTTTTGCTCCAAGTTAAAAGTTGTACTGCTTCCCTACCTACTGTCCTCTCCTCAGAGTAATGGTGACCCTTATTTGCTATTGGTCTGTTTAGATTTTCTGTTTATGATTCATTCTTGGTAGGTTGCATGCGTCTGGAAATCTGTCCACTTCTAGGTGATCCAATTGTTGGCATATAATATATAATTGTTCCTAATAATCTCCTTTGTTCCTTCGTATTTCTGTGGTATCAAACGATTTTTATTTTCTGCCTTCCTGACTTCCTTCCCACCCGTCTCCCTCCCTTCCTGAATAATTCAGGACAAATGCCATTTGCTTGTTCTGTACAAAGCGCAAGAAGATGTTACCACAGGGGGCAGTGGTAGTGGCCTAGTGTAGGGCTGCAGTGTGGAGCCTGAGGAGAACGTCTGAGGGCAGCAGGGAGGGGACTGTGAATAATGAGGCAGCAATAGATTGGTTATTTTTGAGGAGGACTGAGTCAAATTTCTTTTTTCTTTCTTTTTTCTTTTTTTTTTAAGTGCGTGTCTGTGTGTGTGTGTGCCAAAAATTTATTTGTTCATTTCTTGCATTTGAAGTACTCTTCAATGACATCCTTGGCCTGAGACTCCTTGCCATAGTTCTTAACTACTACACAACTTCAACCAACCACTTTACGGGGTTTCCCCTCTGTCAGTTTTACAGAGGCCTGCCCATTCTCCTAGTTTCTTGTCATCAACCTTAATTAGGTTGATTTGGTGTTCAGCACAAAGGGCCTCCACCAACTGGACATACATAGGCTCATCACAGTTGGATGCAAGCACACACAGCACTCAAAGATGGGCTTGGCACTTGTCTAAGCCTTTGGCAGCTTTGCAAATTTCACGTGCTAGGCCATCATGGATGACAGCGGTCTTCAGCACCTCCTGTAAAACAGTATTAATGTCCATTGCACCTCCAGCAGCACTGCCTTCCTCCGCCATGGCAGTGGGTTACGAGTGAAGCCAAATCTTGAATGCACCCGAGACTCCACCTCTATACAACTCGGTGGCGGTAGGGAAAAAGCAGGAGCCAGATTTCTTATAGTCAGAGAAGAGAATTACAAATTTGGAAAGGGTGAAAACTAGAATAGGGTTGGAATTGGAAGTACTGGTATAAACTCTTACAGATTTCAATACGTGTAGATACAGAGATATATAGGTGTATGTGTATGTGTGTGTGTGTGTGTGTGTGTGTGCATGCACATGCATTCATGTTTGTTCCCTAGCTCTGTTCCATGAGAGGGCTTGGAAACAGCAATGGCACAAAACAATGAGCATGCCTACTGCCCAGATCTCGGTTTCTAAATACCATTTTCTGCTAAAAGAGATCAGATCTTAGAGAAAAAGCCCTTTGCAGGGTTAGTGCAGAGGAAATAAACTGGACAAATCAAAACTGTGTGACACCTGATAAGATGCAAGAAGAAGACAATCTCTCTTTTGTGGTTTTCTTGCCAAAAAGGTACAATCTGAATCTAATAAAAAGGAAACATCAGGCAAACCCAAATTGAGGAACGGTCTACAAAATAACTGACCTGAAATCTTAAAAAATGTTAAAGTAATTAAAGTCAAGAAAGACAAACTTGTAAGAGTGGTGGAGACTAAAGAGATGTAACAAAATGCAATGTGAGCACTTGACTATGAAGGACATTGATGGGACAACTGGCAACTTGAACAGGGTCTGTAGGTTAGATGGTAATATATCAGTGTTAATTTCCCGATTTTGATCACTGTGTTGTGGTTAAGTAAAAGAATGTCCTGGTTTGTAGAAATGACACACTGAAGCCTTTAAGATCATGGGGCATCACTGACTCCATGGCTCAGGGAAAAAGGTTCTTTGTACTTTTTTTGCAACTTTTCCTGTAAGTTTGGAATTATTTCAAAATTTAGAAATTCAAAATAGAATTATAAAAGTAATATTTTTCATAATAAACAAGGGTAGCCTTTGTTAAAAAATCAGAAAAGCTGATATCAAAGTTCATTCTCTTAAGTGGACTTAAAGAATAATTAGCTCCAAAAGAAAAGATCTGCCAAGTAAGATGTTTTTCTCTTAGAAAATGGAAATTTAACTTCTAAATTTACTTCACATAACTCACAAATGTAACCGGTTATCTTACTTGGAAATTCTTCATTTTGCCAATTTTATTTTCTCTTGACTTTTCCAGGTATCCAGAGTTGATGTTTTTCCTAAAATAAACCACAGACTATATTTGGGACAAAGAGATACTAAGAAGTACAAAGGGCTCTTTCTCTAAGTGTTATGAAAAAGACTTCAAATTTAAATAAAGCTTACAAAGAAATCATAAAACTAATTTTAAAATGCTTTTATGTAGGCAAAAGGGAAATTGTAGCACTCTCACTACTTAATATTCCCAGTTCTGCCTGAAACAAAGACAAACATTAATTTTTTACAATCTTTGTCTCAAAATTCTATGAACATTTGGAAGAAGTATTTAAAGCTAATGCTTACTCTTTGCTTGAAATTTTGTATAATCTCAGGAATAGAAATTTAAGAAATAGAAGTCTTCTCATTTCAGTTTGCTAAGCACGTTCTTCATTCTTACACATTACAGGTCCACTGAATTCAAAGCTAAGCCAAAAATACCATGCGAAAGACTGCCTCCTAAATTATTTAAGTCTCTTTTGTAGCAAAATTTTCCCAGAAACTGAGAAACATCCACACAGAAAATCTTACCTTTTTATCAAAAGTTTATTTGTTATCCTTTTCTCATTTTCTGGGCATTTCAATGCATTGGCATTGACAATAGTGAAAAAAGTATTTGCTGTTATTCACATATCAAACACATGGTTTCAACGTGGTATGAAACCATGTTGGTTCCAACGTGGCTGACTCCTTTATGTCCATTAAAACCATTTTCCTCATATCTAAAGTAAATCTTGGTATCTGTGATTTATGTTTAATACAGAGATGGGAAATGGTGAGTAATCTAATACTAGTCAAGTTACATGTATTCTTAAAAAAAGCTCAAATAGTTGAATTAGGGTGATGGAAATTATACTCAAATCTGAAATTGTAATAAGCCTCCTTTCTGAAATTTAATGACCCATTCATTTTTTTTAGGTTTAGCTTAATGTTTTTCCTCTTTGTAATACCAACTGAGCTTTAACTTAATAACAAATGGTAACTATATAAGATTGCATTAAATAGTCTTGGGCTATTTTTTGGTGAGCTCTTTGATTTGGTAACTACATTCCAAAAGTTAATTCTCAGTTACGTGAGTTTAAATGGCATCCATAGCTGCCCCTTCACACAAACAGGTGTTCAATAATAGCGCTTATTAGAAAGACCCTGGAGACCAAGAAACTTCAGTTCTAGTCCTCAATATAGAAGTAGCTAACAATTTTGGATAAGTCATTTAACTTCTAGTCTTTGGTTTCCATATTTATAAAATGGAGACAATATCCTATCTACTTTTAAGGTATCATTAAAATGTTTATAATTGGATAATATATTGAAGTATTCTGAAATAATATCAGTTCCTCTTTGTTTAGCATTCTCAATTTTTCAAATTCTTAACCCTGGGATTGAAGTTATTAAAGGCACTTGTTTCTCCTTATTTAAAAGATTTATGAAAGGCTCCTACCATGGCATGCCTTGGTTCCTATGGTTTTACTTTCCCTCCACAGGAAAAATGTATTGACAATTTTAGATTGTCAAAATTCTTCCTTAATGAAAGTATTAATGAGAATTATTTCATTATTCATAGTTTGGTTAAGATTTACGACAAATCACAGCCAAAAGTACTTCATTGGTAATAGCTCGTTTCAGGCTTCCTGGGAAAAATAATAATGTCAGATTTGCATTTGCAATCTTAGAATATTATAGGATATTATGCTGCATAAATCTAGATGTAACTTTTATTCAGATAATTTTTAAAAATTAGAACATGATTTTAAAGGTAGTATGTCTCTTGTGGAGGGAAATCTTGCTGAAATTAAAGCTTCTTTAGAGAGAATGTGTTCTGTTTGTGTACCTCTCTAAATGAAAGAATTAAGGAGAATTATTTCATTATTCATAGTTTGGTTTGTGGGGGTGAGAGAGGGAATGAGAAAAATCGTAAGACATCCTTGGAACAATTTAACACAAAATATACACATATATAGATCCTGAGATGTTACAACAAATTAACAATTATATAGATCAACATGATCCAAATGGTTTCCAAGACACCGTTATGGTGGGTAAACAGCCATTTTACGGCGTGTGCTCCGTGGATGTCCACACCATGCCAGGAAAACCCTACTCTTTGTCTCCAAATTTGAAAGCTAGTCATCCAGAGCAGGTGGCCAGTCAACATCTACAGACTAGAAGAGAGACAAGAAGTCATTAAAACAGATATTGCTGTTGTGGTAAGCATTTGCTGGTAATGCTGTATAAATGTAATAGTTTTAATATAATGCAACAGAAGAAACTGCATTTGAAGAAAAGAGCTGTTGAATACCATAAATTAACACCGTCAAGTCTGTTCTAGGGATTCTTGGACCTGAGATCTTCTGAATTAATTGAGTAGCAGTATTTGGCTACTCAGTTGGTTATTAATTGTGCTTTTTGACTGACAAGAGAATACATTTAAAATTTTTAAATGGTATTTATGGGGCCAGACGTGGTGGCTCACACCTTTAATCCCAGCACTTTGGGAGGCCGAGGTGGGCAGATCACTCATGGTCAAGAGTTCAAGACCAGCCTGGCCAACATGGCAAAACCCTGTCTCCACTAAAAATACAAAATTTAGCCGAGCATGGTGGCACACGCCTGTAGTCCCAGCTACTCGGGAGGCTGAGGCAGGAGAATAGCTTGAGCCCAGGAGGCAGAGGTTGCAGTGAGCCAAAATCATGCCATGGCACTCCAGCCTGGGCGACAGAATGAGACTCCATCTCAAAAAAAAAAAAAAAAAAAAATGGTATTTATGGGTCAAAGTAGCAAACAAATTCAAGTGACTACACCAATTTTCCCTCAGAAGTCTCAGAAACTTTCATTCTTCTGATCATTTTCATTCTCTCATCTTGCATTGAACAAATATTCAAGTAGTCTATACGCCTATAAGTCTTGTTTGCAACATAGCAACAAAATGTGAAATAAATGATTATGAAAGATGACCTGGAACTAGAAAAGGATTAAGGATCTTTGTGCTTCACTTCTGTAGAATTTCTGTTTCTTTAAAATCCAGTTCATCTATCTCTACTTACCTTTATTTTGTTCTCCTAGGACAAAACCTTGACCTTTGAGTCAGAATGAAATTACAGTAAACAGACTATTTGTCCCCACATAAACACATACCAGGTCTATCAAAGGCTAGAGGATCTACTTTAAGAGAAAGTTAAAACAAAACAAAACAAAAAAAACCCACTGTATCTGTGGTTTTTATTGACATTTAAAGTTTAAAACGTGAAATTATTTACTGAAAATTTCTTCATTAATCCATGAGTGACTTCATGTACTGGCTTCAAAAAAAATTTATTAGAAAAGCCTACAAGCTACGTGTGTGTGTGTCTTTTACAAATCTCAAGAAGATATTTTGGTTCTGTTTCAGAATATAGCCATATACCAAACACCCAAATGTAAATTAATGAGTGTTTTCTCAAGCTGAAAATAAAACATGACTGATCACAAGCTCTGTGTGTGTGGAGGGAGGCATGTTGTAGTGCTTACAAAGCTCCACAGTGATTCCAGTGGGCAGTCAGTGTTGAGAAACACTGGCCTGTGAGTCTTTGACACTCCTAACTGTTCTGAGAATTAAGGAAAAAAAAGATTAATGCAAGCCTGGGCAACATGGTGAGACCGCATCTCAACAACAACAAAAGCCAGGCATAGTGGCTCATGCCTGTGGTCCCAGCTACTCGGGAGACTGAGGCAGGAGGACTGCTTGAGCCTGGGAGGTCAGGGTTGTAGTGAGCCGTGATCGCACCACTGCACTCCAGCCTGGGTGACAGAGCAAGACCCTGTCTCAAAAAAAAAAAAAAAAAAAAAAAAAGAATAGAGTAGAGATTTTTCTTTAACAGAAGGTTGTCTTCCTCCAAATGATAGTTTCACTGAAGAGGCTCCCTGCAACCTTGAGGGCACGATCACTGGCTATACTGCAGGAGCTAATCTAATCCCAGAGCACTTGAGAGAACTGCTGGTAAGGAAATACTACTCCAGTGATCATTTGATTACCATAGATGTTTTCACATTGGGCAACTATGCCCACTTCTTTCTGTAACTTTGATATTATTCCCAAGTACAAATCCCCAAGTCCTAAGATTCTGGGGAGAGTAGTGGGGGAGGTACTCTATTCCTAGTCAGATTTTCATGAAGAAACACCACTCGTGACTCAACACTTACTGATACTCAAATGAAATATTTATGGAGACTTGCCCGACAGAACCATTCTTACAATTATTTTAGAATTTAACCTTATTTCAATTCAGACTATAAGAGCAGAGAACTTGGACCACATCACAGGGGTCCTTATAGAACTGCTTTTATGAAGAAACATTGGCTCACCTCACTTTCTACCCTTGTGAATCAATGTTTCTGAATTGGTTGCTTTAAAGTCTACAAAATGCAGCAGGTATGGGAATGAATTCTCTAGAGTCCAAAGGACATATGGAGAACACTTACAACTTTATTTCCTTGCTTGGTTTAAGGGTTTAGATTTGATAAAGCTCAGTTAGTAAATTAGCTATATATTTGCAAGGAACATGAGACCTCGTATTAAAAACAAACAAAAAAATCCAAGGACAGTCCCGCCCTTCAATACAATGTTACTGTGAGATTTTCACTATTCTCAAATACCTATGGAGGTGGGTAGTACTAAAACAGCTTAATGCCAAAGCGCATAACTTTGGTTGAATTCACTTTGCCAATGTGCATTCCATAATAAAATGGTTTACCTCAACATCCAGCTCAAGAATGTCTGCGGTCACATTCATCAGGGACCCAATGTTTGGCTTGGTTCTCCCGAAGTCTCCATGTACAAACTCTTTAATGTAGCTGGGGTTTGTTTAAGGAAAAAATGAAGACAGCATGCTGTACCAACTATTTGGTAAGGTTTGACAGGCAAAAATAATAAGAGCAGAAATGTTACAAAAGAGAGGTTATTTCTGAGCTCTGACTTGTGTGTCAAAAAAAAAAGCTTTGGCCAGGTGGTTCCTAGTAGTGTGGCAGCCAACATCAGAGCCTGGGAAATGTGTTTACATCAAACTTACCAAAAATCATTACTTTCTTTTTTCTTTATAGCTCATCTCCAAGTGCCAAGGTTTGGATGTGGATTTAAAAAATTAACTATAGCTGAATGCTTTTATTAAAAAACAACTTGGCCACAATTTCTGTATTATCATCTTGTTAGTCCCATTTTTTAATAATGGCAACTGTCACCTGCCAGATGGTACGTTTCCACAGAGTCACACACAGAGTGATCTCAATGATGGCATTCCTTGTAACATGACCCAGAGGCAATAGGATGGAAGGAATAATGAGACTATTAGTTTAGTCTTAATGATGGCTCTTCAGACCTACCATCTAGTTTGCTAACATGGTTAACAAAAGAACTAAGTTAATTCTGTCTCTCTTTTTTTAAGGGGCAACTTTGTATTTCCCTCATAGGTCTTCAAATTTTGAAATCAATAACTAATTCTAGAATTTGTTTTTCAGATTAACATTCCTTACACAGGACTGTACTGCAGCTTTGACAATATTTATCTAAAAGATTTGTTTTTGGCACCATTCAGTAAAAATGCAGCATTATGTTTTGTTCTACAAACCAGCATTTAGTAGAACATAATTAATGGAACTTGAATAGAGAAACAAATTTGTTTCTAGATGGTGAAAAATCTATACTATAATATACTGATATTATGTTCTCACTGTCTGAACGTTTTACTCACTCTACCTTTGCCAAATGTTTTGACTAAAGCACAAGACATATAATTATCTAGTAACTGTCTTTTTTGATAAACTCACAACTACCCAACAATTGTTATTTATTGTCTCTCATTTTCTTTAAAGAATCCCCTTCTGCGTAGCAATGATGAAGACAGAAAACCAAATAGCCCCAGAATAACCAGTTAAAACATCCAGAGACGTTCTTATTCCTAACCAGAGGGACAAAGTTTAAGTCAAATGAGCTATCTCAGTGCACTGATCGATGTAAATATATAAGGTATATATAAAGTAAATTTAGTAAGTGAAAAATTCATATACTTCTGTGTATAACCATGTGGCATCTAAAGCTTTAACACATAGTTTTTCTTGGCTAATACCTTAAGTACATGTACATGGGTAGTTCTAAGAATGTTTTAATAGGATTGAAAAGACATCAAATTCTACAAAAGACATTTCTCTTTGGCCCACCAAAACTAAAAGCCAGGATTAGGTAAGAAGATTTTTAAAAAATATATACATGATTTGAAATTCCATCCATAATAGGCAAATATGCTCCAAAAAACAGAGATGCAAAGATCTATCCACTGGAGTCGAAATTGAAATGGATGCAAATTACAAAATTTAGAAGATTTTAAGAGTAGATAACCTATACTTGGCTTAGCTGAGTAAATCCAGGTCCTAGGGTAGTGCAGGGGAAGAAGTGAATGCAGGTTGGTGGGGAAGGGCAGGCAGACTAGTTACAGTAATATAGTAGGAATGGTATTTGGTAATTAAAACTTGCTCTTTTTCTATATATATATAGTGTGTGTGTGTATATGTGTTACATATATACACACACATACAATAGTACATCATTAGTTCTATACCAGTTAGAAGGCATTTTGTCACTTCATGCTATTGGATCACATAATAATATAAAACCAAGAAGCAAACAAAAACTAGGAAGACCTTCAAAAAGTAAACTACAACTAAGCCTGTTAGAGCTCCCTGATATATTTTAATCAGCGACTCAGTTCTGATACAAAAATCATACAAGTCAGGTTAGATTATGAACAAATTATCAGCCTTGGACTATGGATATTTTAACTCTGAATCTCAACCTTTCTGTAATACAGTGAAAGCTCTTTGCAGTCTGAAAATGGTGATAATGATATGTCATCTGAGTCGTTTTAGTTTTGTTTTTTTCACAAGGTACGTAGACAAAGATATTCTCTGTTGTACTAGGCCAGTGGCCAAGTAAAAGATCATGATGTAAAGTAGTGCTATTCCCATCTACTACCTGTGTTTAATCATCCGAGGCAAATACTTGAAATGTTGAAAAGACCCAAATATGGTCATAAATACGTGACTTGCAAATAATGTCAAGACAGCAAATGAATCCATCAAAAGTATTTTCTGAATACTATGCGCTCAGCACTGTGTAAGACACGGCAATTACAGGAAACATAACTTTAAAGCTGACATTGAACTCACTGCTACCTCAGTGTTTAGAATCATTTTGAAAAACAAATTTCGTGGGAAAAAAACACATCGAACAAACAAACAAAAATATTCTTCTGCAGTACAATCCTTTCCCGAATCCCTCCCAGACCAAGCTGACCCTGTTTTCCAGGGTAGCATGAACTTTTCCAACAGGGTTCTGGCTCATGGCGGCAGTGCAGCAGGTGGAAGGATACGTGCCGGCCTGAGTTTTCAAGTGCAGGCGGAAGTGGTGCTCATCCACGTACTGCGTCTCCATGGAGTGAATGACGCGAGCTCGCACAGCCAGGGGCCTTCGGTGAAGGACGCGCAAAGGTGTTTTCTGATCGATCTTTAAGTCCTAGGGGAGAATGTGACACACAGTCCCGGAGTCACAGCTTTGCCACCCAGTGAAGCCTATCTTAGCCCTTCCCTCACCATCCATAGCTCACCACAGATGTTTCCTTTAGAGAACTCCATCTGTATCACGGGGTGGACACTAATTAATGGTAAAATGAATTGAGTCCCGTTAGGTTCAAACTCTGTGGCACTTCTCAGAACCCAGTCTATCATTACTCATTTTCTGGGCCCCAGTAACCTCGCCATTTAAAGAGGGCTTTGAAGTAAATAGGTCTCTTTTACTCTCATATTTAATAAATTGGTGAAGGCCCTGGAGTTCTGGCCTGCCCTTAAGGTCTATCGGGTTGCCCTAAAGACAAGGCCTTTACCTTTGTTTACTTTTTTTTTTTTTTTCTTTTTTTGAGACGGAGTCTCGCTCTGTCGCCCAGGCTGGAGCTCAGTGGCGCAGTCTCGGCTCACCGCAGCCTCTGCCGCCCGTGTTCAAGTGATTCTCCTGCCTCAGCCTTCCGAGTAGCTGGGACTACAGGCGCCTGCCATCGCGCCAGGCTAATTCGTGTAGAGACGGGGTTTCACCGTGTTAGCCAGGCTGGTCTCACTTCTCCTGACCTTGTGATTCGCCCGCCTCGGCCTCCCAAAGTGCTGGGATTATAGGCGTGAGCCACCGCGCCCGGCCCCTTTACCTTTGTTTTCTAACCCAACAGAGTGACCTAAGAGTGGGGATTTCAGGCTGCGTGAGAAATGGCTGGTTGCAGAAGGTGGGACATCAGCATCGCTTGGGTGTATGGCAGTTTGCGTTTGTTTGAAACAAGGTCTCCCTCTGTTGCCCAGGCTTGAGTGCAGGGGCGCCATCTCTGCTCACTTGCAACCTCCAATTCCTGGGTTCAAGTGATTCTCCTGCCTCAGCCTCCAGAGTAGCCGGAATCACAGGCACACGCCACCACGCTCAGCTAATTTTTGTATTTTTTTGGTAGAGACGTGGTTTCACCATATTGGCCAGGCTAATCTCCAACTCCTGACCTCAGGTGATCTGCCCTCCTCAGCCTCCCAAAGTGCTGGGATTATAGGTGCGCGCCACCGCGCCCCGCTGAGTTTGCATGTTTTAGGGAGACCCACATACCTACTGTCAGGGGTGGGTTGTTTGGATTTGCTTTTTTGTTTGTTTTTTTTTTTTTTTGGTGAAGGAAAAGGGTTATACAAAAGGATACATCTGGAAAAGATATTAATATTAATACATCTTGTTTAGGGTGATATTTCAATATAATAATTACAAATCAATGTGCATAATAAACCAGGACCTTTCAATGTTTGTTAGCCCAGCTTGCAACTAATAATACTGCATGTCTTTTTACATTTCAGATTTTTTAGGGACACAGGCTTGTTTTTCTCACAATTTGTTCAAGTTAGAGATTTTCTGTCACAAAATAAAAATTAAGAAATAGAGGTTAACACTGTAAAAGGTCAACTAATTCCAAGTTTTAAAAATTGGGCGTAATCAGAAATTCAGATTCATAAGAACTGAATCCTCTGCATTTTCTTGTCGGAACAACTCTTCCTAATTTCCATGGTTCTTGAGTGCCGGAAGGCCTGCTAACGAAAGAAAAGTTTCTGTTTGGTCTCTCCTCTATCAAGTTCTCCACCAAGAAAAAAAGAGCAAGTTCTAACAAAGACCACATTTGAAAGGGTGTGGCTGCTTTTACCAGAGTGGTGAGTCAATGGCTCCTCCTAACTCTGTGGTTTTTATGAGTCTTTGATTTTATTACAGAAATACTTTGTCCTGATGAGATAAGCTGTCTCCATAAGACCTGATTTTTCTCTGGTCAAAGAGACCAAAAAACAAAAAACAAAACAAAAAAAAAACAACAAAAAACATAAATAAAGGACAAGGCTGAACTGTGAAGGAATCTATAAAGACATGGCTTCCACTTTAGAGAAACAGCAGCCTTTAAATTAATGACTATCTATGGAGTCCTCTCCCCTGCTTCCTTTACCTTTAGAGTTATTCCTAGTACTTTGACCATGAGACAGTCGGTCAATGGAAATACCACGAGTCACATGTCTTTTTTGGTTTGTTTGATTTTAGTTGATAAAAGGAAACTACTTCATTTATTCTAATATTGCACTCTGCTGCTCCTATACTGCTGAGTTTTCAGAAACACACAAACACACACATATGCTTGTTTTTTTTTTTTTTTTAGAAATAGGTTGCTCCTGAAGAGGGGATAAGTAGTAAATGTGAAACGACTTTTTCTCAGTATGGGGAAGTAAGTCGGTTTTTATAATTTTTATGCCAACTGGAATATTTGAAAACTAAAAACATTATTTGAAATCAACTAGTTGCATCAGTCTACTTAGGCTATGGACCATTAAAAGAGACCCTTTCACCACTTAGTCTGTACCTATGAAAATCATCTTTCAGCCCAGGCTGGAGTGCAATGGCACAGTGATGGCTCACTGTGGCCTCGACCTTGTGGGCTCAAGCAATCCTCCTGCCTTGGCTTCCCAAAGTGTTGGGATTACAGGCATGAGCCACTGCACCTGACCTCAGCGTTATTTCTGAATTATCTCTATGGCTACCCCAAACTATGAACCTATTTTTTAAATGAGTTTATTATTCCCACGGCATTCTCAATAACTCATACAACCCATGTGAAGGCATAGAGAAATTTAGAAATTCATTTTGCAATCTTAAAGATATCTGTCTATATTATAACTACCATCTTAAGAACCTTACATAGTATGGCCAAAAGCTAAAAGGCCTTAGCTATAGAATCACAGAATCTGAGAACTGGAGAGGCCATTGGAGATGATCTAGTCCATCTCCTCATTTTATAAATGACCTTCTTTAAGCAGGTGAATGATTTGTACGTTTTTACGAAAATACTCATACTATAAACATTATTCTGCACTTTGCTTTTTTCTCATGTCATAAGTGCTCCTACGAGTCATAGATATAGACATACCTCTATCTTTTTTCCCAGCATTTTTAGGTACATATGTACATACTAATATGTAAATTAAATAGGGTCATATGCTGGTTTTGTTTTTGCTTTTGTTTTGAGATGCAGTCTTACTCTGTTCCCCAGGCTGACTCTGTCCCCCAGGCTGGAGTGCTGTGACGCAATCTTGGCTCACTGCAATCTCTGACCTCTGGGTTCAAGCTATTCTCATGCCTTATCCTTCCAAGTAGCTGGGACTACAGGCATGCACCACCACACCCGGCTAATTTTTTGTGTTTTCAGTAGAGATGGGGTTTCACCATGTTGGCCAGGCTGGTCTCAAACTCCTGACCTCAAGTAAGTTATCCACCCACCTCAGCCTCCTAAAGTGCTGGGATTACAAGCATAAGCCACCATGCCTGGCATGATTTTGTTTTTTTAATAGCTGTATATATCCCAATTTACTCTACCGTTTCCTTATTGAGGGACGTTGATTATGTTCCCAGTCTTTTTGTTGTTGATTCTGCCACTTAAAGCCCTTAAACACTGTGTACATATTCTTATGCACTGGAGTTTTATTTCTACAGGACAGTTCAGTATATTTTAAATTTTTACAGTCACTACCATGTTGTTTTTGAAAAAGGCTGAAACACTACATTTCTACTGAGAACTCTCCTCCACTCCAACCCACCAATAGGTATTATTAGTCTAAGGGGAATAAAGTGATGTCTTATTGTTACATCAACCTTTTCAAATGATTCTTGGCCACTGGAGTTATTCTTTTTGCAGCTAACTGGTTCATATTCTTTGTCTATTTTTATTTGTTGCGTGTTCATATTTTTCATAAGTATAAATTCTACTTATAGTATCTTTTGCCATACAATTTGTTTTCTACATAATCCGCTATATGTGTATACATATACATATATATGCGTTTGTGTGTGCTTAAATCAGCAGTCCCCAACCTTTTTGGCGCCAGGGACCAGTTTCTGGGAAGACTATTTTTCTATGAACTGGGGAAGGAGGGGATGGTTTGGGGATGATTCAAGCTTGTTACATTTATTGTGCACTTTATTTCTATTATTATTACATTGTAATATATAATGAAATAATTTTACAACTCACCATAATGTAGATTCAGTGGGAGCCCTGAGCTTGTTTTCCTGCAACTGATGGATCATCAGGCATTAGATTTTCATAAGGAGCATGCAACCTAGATCCCTCGCATGTGTCATTTCCAACAGGGTTCACGCTTTTATAAGAATCTAATGCCACCACTGATCTGACAGGAGACAAAGCTCAGGTGGTAATGTGAGTGATGGGCAGCAGCTGCAAATACAGATGAAGCTTTGCTCTCTCATCCACTGCTCATTTTCTGCTGTGTGGCTAGATTCCTAACAGGTCACCAGCCAGTACCACCGGAGGGTTGAGAACCCCTGGCTTAAATCACAGCGTATCATCCTCTCTAGAGTCTATACTTTTATTTTTTTCCTTAGCACTTACCAGAAACATTTTCCTGTGTCAATAAATATTTATCTACCACATAATTTTCAATGGTTGAATAGTAGTAGTCCATTATACAGATAAGTCATTAATATTAAACCAGTTCCTTCTAGTAGGTCATCTAGGTTGTTGCAAAATATTGCCTATTTAAACAATGGTAACTATATGTGTCTCTGTGCTGCCCATGTATGCTCATTCCTTGCATTTGAAAATAAACTGTTTCTGGCTGGGCACGGTGGCTCATGTCTGTAGTCCCAGCACTTTGGGAGGCTGGGGCAGGCAGATGACAAGGTCAGGAGTTCAAGACCAGACAGGCCAACATGGCGAAACCCCATCTCTACTAAAAATACAAAAATTAACCAGGTGTGGTGGCGGGCGCCTGTAATGCCAGCTACATGGAAGGCTGAGGCAGGAGAATCACCTGAACCTGGGAGGCGGAGGTTGCAGTGAGCTGAGATCGTGCCATTGCACTCCAGCCTGGTGACAAGAGCAAGACTCTGTCTCAAAAAAAAAAAAAAAAAAAAAAGAAAAAAGGAAGTAAACTATTTTTATAAGAAGAGGTGGGGGCAGGTGGTAAAAAGTATGCACGTGAACAGGCAGACACATGCTCAGGTATAGGAAAACTTCACATGTGGCAAAATGCATGTGCTTTACATATATTATCATGTGTTTTACTCATGTACTTAATCTCAGCCTCAGTTCTATTAGATAAGTGCTATTTTATATTTATTTTTGACAAATGACCAAAGATGATAATAGCATTGCCGAGTTTTTCCTATGTGCCAGGTACTGTTCTAAGTGCTTCATCTAATTACACTCATTTAATTATTTTAACTAATTTTATAAATGAAGAAATTGAAGCAGAAAGAGGTTAAGTAACTTGTCCAAAGCCACAGAGCTCAGAAATGCAGATCCAGGATTTGCACCCAGGCAATCTGTCTTCAGAGTGGGGCTCTTCCCCACTGGCCACACTGCCGCTCGAGCAGGTTAGATGACATACCCAGTCCTTCAGCTAGTCAGTGGCAGAACCAGGCGTGGAACCCAGGTCTTGCTGACCCCAAAGCCCATGCCCTGTGACTTGCTAGTAATAAATTAGAAGACAATGGGATCTTTGATAGGCAACAGAAAAATGAAATAAAAAGAACAAGCACACTTAAACTACCTTTATGTCATTTAGGAATTCAATGTCTTTCTTCTGGATCGCTTTATCTGTCCATATTAAGGCACTGTAGGTCTTTGTCTTTTCTTCTTCACCTTCTTTCATATGTCCTATTGCCTCTCTAAACAAAAACAATTTTTAAAAGCTTGTCCAAATAAATAAAATGCAAACTAACCTTGCCCCAAATTAACCTTTCTTTAAAAATAGTTCCAATGAGATATAATTTACATATAATTTCTCAGTTTTAACTGTACAATTCAATGATTTTTAGTATGTTTTCAGAGTTGTCCAGCTATTACCACAATCTAGTTTTAGAAACTTTCATCACCCCGAAAAAGAAACTTTGTACCCATTAGTGTCACTTCCCATTATTATTCTCCCCAAGCCCTAGACAACCATTAACTGACTTTCTATCTCTATAGATTTACCTATTCTGAACATTTCATATAATGAAATCATACAGTACGTGGTGCTTGGTGACTGGCTACTTTCATTTCATAATGTTTTCAAGGTTCATCCAGGTTGCAGCATGTATCAGTACTTCATTCCTTTTTATTACCAAGTAATATTGCATTGTATGGATATATCACATTTTGTTTATTCATAGACACTTGGGTAGTTTCTACTTCTTTGCTATTGTGAATAATGTTACTAGGAATATCATGTACAAGTCTTTGTGTGGATGTTTGTTTTCATTTCTCTTGCATATATAATATCTAGAAGTGGTTAACATTTGCATTTCCCCAATGACTAATTATGTTGAGCATTTTTTCATACATTAATCGGCTATTCCTATATCCTCCTTGCAGAAATGTTTACTTAATCATTTCCCCATTTTTAGTTGGGTTGTTAAGAGTTCTTTATATATTCTGGATGCAATTCCCTTATCAAGATATATGACCTGCAACTAAAACATCCCTTCGAAATCGTCTCCAGTGAGCCTACTCTTACCTTGTGACAAGCTGCAAGTCACGTACTTGGATTTTGTTAGATGAGTTATTAATTTTCTGTAGTAGCAGAAAAAGAAAAACAATTAGCAAGTCTAGCTCAGTTACAGAATTGCAGAAACATGACGATTTCCATGTCATGAAGTGGTTTACCTGCTGAAGTTCCTTAATTTCTTGTGAAGTGAAATGTACTCTATGAGGATTCACCAGCTCAATTGCAAAGGGCCTTCCTGGCAGCACACACCCCGTCATGAAACAGAAACGTGTTGATGGAGTTAACATTTGGGCTAATGCAAGAGGGTTAGGAGGTGTGAAAAATGAGTTGAGCTCTAGAGGACTGAAAGTTTAGTGACATGACTACATCTGAGGGAGGGAAGAATGTGTGAGAAGAATCAAGGGGCTTTTTGTGGGGGCAGAAGGGCTGCTAAACCCCAGCACAGGCAATATGTGAAAATGACTGCTTTCCCAAAGGCCCATGAACAAGCCTGTGTTAATTACAAAACACAGTTCAAATAACTGCTAATTAACTTAGTTACACTAATGTAAAGTTGTCACATGCAGCAATGCCCTGTTGACATCCATCCTCCTAGCCTGATCCACTAGTGAAATGGAAAAGCTTTGGTTCCATGAGAGGAAGGAACTATAAGTCTCAAACAGTTGAGGATTAAATGTCATCATCTTTCCGATAATGCAGCAGGGTAAAATGAGAGACATGAAGGTTAAGACAGCAGAATCACTTTTTAAATGAAGATGTACATTTTGAAAACTGTATTGGTACTTCTGAAATGTTATTAAATGAAAAAATTAATAATCAAACTTTTGGATAAAAAATCAGGCACCTCTTTGTTAATGCACATACAAGTCCCTTATAACCTACAGGTATGCAATCAGGATGGCCTCTGAAGAAATGATTCCTGTTAAGGTGTATTTCATATAATTCATAAAGGGGCCTCCATAATCCACAAAGCTTCCTCCCTTGGAGAAGCTCTCGACCTTGCTCACTTTGTTTTTCACTGAGTGACTACTAAGCCTGCTGTCTAGAAAGGATGAATATCAGAAAGTTAGTTCTAATCAGGTGATGCTGCTGCAGTCTTACCATTTCCTAATGTTCTCACATCTACATCTTCTCTTCCAGAGGATGAAAAATTAAAACCTTTGAAAAGCAGATAAAGAAAAAAAAATTAGAGACATCATAGCCCTAAGATATTCATTCCCAACCTTTGGTAGAAACCCAATTGAAGGTCTTGAACCATCTACAGGAGAATCCCCCGGGAGAGTCATCGTCCCACCTCTAATGTCAATCTCTACTAAAAATAGTAATGCTAATAGTAAACACCATTTATTGAGAACTTATTATATGCCAGGCATTGGACTAAAAATTTTATATATATGATTTAAATTTTATTTACTTATTTTTTTTCTTAGAAATGAGATCTTACTCTGTCACCCAGGCTGGAGTGCAGTACCATGATCATGGCCAACTGCAACCTCAAACTCCTGGGCCCAATCAATCCTCTTGTCTCAGCCTCCCAAGTAGCTAGGATCACAAGTGCACACCAGCACACCTGGCTAATTTTTTAATTTCTGTAGAGATAAGGTCTTGCTTTATTGCCCAGGCTGGTCTTTAACTCCTGAATTCAAGCTATTCTCCTGCTTTGGCCTACCAAAGCACCGGAATTACAGGTGTGAGCCACTGCACCTGAACCATGTACTATTTAATCCTTATTATAACCTTACAAAGTAAGTACAAAATAAAAGAACAGCAAGCTTCAGAAAAGTTAGGTAATGATCCCAAGGTCGCATAAGTAAATGGCAGAGCTAGGTGTTTCTGATGTTAAAATCTGACCTTAACTACCATCCCATGGGAAAGCCAAGGCAGAGTCCTGTTTGGAAGAAGAGCCCACCACCCCTCTGGCCATAAGCCTATGGTAAAAACTCTACCATCTTTCTCTTTTTCCTTAAAACACAACCAAGCAAAAACATTCATTATTTAAGAATTAAACTCCATGAAAGAAAAAGGAGGGAAAAAAAGGTCTGACTCTAAAAAGCAAATTCATTATATATGTCATCAAACCAAAGCTGGAAACGTGATAAAACCAGTGTATGCTCTATCATAAGTAGATCATCACAGACTAAAAGCTGCAAATATTGGAATAGGAAAATTGTTTTTTTGTTTTGTTTTGTTTTAAAGGCAAGGGGCTTATACAACTACGTTTTTAGACACAGAACTAGGCCAGGCAGGAAGTAGGAGTCTGTGAACCACTAAGTCCCAAAAAACTCTCCATTCTGTGTTTATACTCCAGTGTGAAGTTACTAATAAATCCATAGGAACATCAGTATCTTCTAATCAGAGTCAACAGACTCAACCTGTAGTGCTAACAACAGATGGATGGCCATGGCTCAGTGGTGAATTCAAAAAGGGCATCTGGGAAGCCGAAGATGCAGACTCCTTGGGGCTACGATTTGACTTCTACCTGCCCATCCCTGTCTCCCAGTCAGCCCTGTCAGGAAAACAGGGGGTCCACAGTGACTGAACAGGAACCTGTGACTGGCAGGGGTGAAGGGAATGAACAGGCCTCGAAGAGCTAAGTCTACTAGTTACTGAAGGAGCAGAAATCTTAAATTCATAAGTCAGCCATAAAACTTTCCACAAATTCCAGCCCATCAGTAAGAAAGAGGTGTAGAAAGCTAGGCCCTTGAGAAGGCCACAAAAGCATTTGATCCAGACTAAAGGAGAAGGCATATTTACTGATCTTTTAGAAAAATGTTTCAAACCAGGCTGGGCACGGTGACTCATGCCTGTAATCCCAGCACTTTGGGAGGCTGAGGCGGGTGGATCATGAAGTCAGGAGATCGAGACCATCCTGGCTAACATGGTGGAACCCATCTCTGTTAAAAATACAAAAAAATTAGCTGGGTGTGGTGGCACGTGCCTGTAGTCCCAGCTACTCAGGAGGCTGAGGCAGGAGAATGGCGTGAACCCGGAAGGTGGAGCTTGCAGTGAGCCAAGATCGTGCCACTGCACTCCAGCCTGGGTGACAGGGCGAGACTCCGTCTCAAGAAAAAAAAAAAGAAAAATGTTTCAAACCTGAAAATTAAGGAAACATCCTTGGACCTCAGAGTGAGAGAAATTTGGGGGGCAAACCTGAAAACTTACTAGTGTGCAATTATAAATGGCAGCTGACAAAAAAGGAAAAGAAGCCACTCCCTTAAGTATTAGAAAATACATGCTTAAAACTTAGTTGAGTTTTTAAACTCACATTGTGCCTTGTCTCATTCCCCTAAAAACCAAAATCAAGGGCAAGAGTGATCAGGAACTATAAGGGGTTCAGCTAATCTGCAGTGGTCCTCGTACTTGGGACAGACAGACAATGGGACCGAAAGATAGGCACAGGCCAGACAATGAAGGGCCCAGAATATCCAGGTAAGTGGACTTCATCCTGTAGCTAGTCATTGACCAGTTTTTAGCACGGAACTGACATGGAAAGTATGTATTCAATAAGTGAATTAATAAATATATTAGGAGAAGATTTCTTAGACATACAGATTTTTGAGAGCATGTCAAAATTATTACTCATTAGGGAATTAACAAGTAGATAATAAGACATGCAGTCTGAAGTGACTGAGAAACAAGTTTGTATATCTCACATAGGGGAAGGGATGTTTATATAGGTAGCCACACTGCTCCATGCAATACTGGCTCAGTTTACAGAACTTTTAACACTTAGGAGTACCACAGTTAGAACCATCTTCCCAGAGTTGTCAGATGTGAACCACTAATCAATAATAAGTAATATATCTGAGAAGGACAGGTTCAGCAAATTGATGTTATCAATCAGAGATTTCAAACAACAAGATGTTGTCTCCTGACAGGGAGCCAGTTAGCACTGAGGCCCAGAGGTCTGCTTTTTCTCAGGGGACTCTCAATAAATTATGTCAGGACACATTTACAGCTATCAAACATGCAATATTCTTCTTTTCAGTTTGGGAATAATTTTCCCCCCATCAAATGGAAAATGACAACAAACCACCTTCATTAAAAATTGTAAGGAGGAAAACACAACTGTTTCAGAGTCAGTCCTCCAGCAACCCTAGAGATAACAGGGTCTTCCCTGGGGCCCAAATAGAACTGAAACTTTCTTGAATCTTCTTAAAGAAAAGGAGTAAGGTGGCATAAGGGAAATGGCTGTGCTTTAGTCAAGAGTAGGCTGAGGTGGCCTTCCGGCACAGCATGACTCAGCGGGTTTAGAGTGCAGGTGCACAACCCCACTCATTATGTAACCACGCCATGTGAGGCACATTAGGTGCTCACTCACATGAGCTAGTGCTTGGCTCGGTACCACTATTGTCTGTAAAATGTATAACTACCCTGCTGACGCTGTACATACCATTCAGACTGGGGCTTGCGCCCAGAGACAGAGAATAAAGCCATGTTGAAACTCACTACGATTCCTTGAGTGTTCTTTCAGCTGCCCACCACTCATCCACCCACTGCCCTCGGTCCTCCGCTTGGGCTGGAACCCGACACTTGGTGTTGCACTTGATGTAGCAGGATACTGAGATTTAGAAGCAACAACACCCCTCTTGCCTGAGATTGGGATGATGTGGCTGAGACTGCCTTCCTAGCAGCCAAGTGGATTATTCAGCAGGTACAAGCCCTTTGGGTTCACATGCTCCAACTGCACTGTGGATTGGGCCCACACCTGTGCTGAGGTGACCAATGTTTCCAACTGTTGGATCTGTACCGCCCTTCCAGCAGCAGCTGTGGATGGTTTGCCCTGGCACATACATCCCACATCTGTAGAGAAGTGAACATGGTTGGAGACTTGAGGTCCCACGGCTGACGCCTGGAACACAATGCACAAGTTTTGGACAAAGGATGCTGCAAGACCCATGGCATGCTTGCCCCCTGGTTGGCCCATGGCATTTATGATGGATGGAGCTGGTCAGTGGGGGAACATGTAGTACCCCCAGCCCAGGCACTGTGGTGCATAGAGCAACATTGGAGTAATACCACTGTGGGATGGCTACCCATCATGGTCTGTATAAACATAACACAATGCTGTACCTTTATCCCGGATAATCAGCAGAACATAAAAGCAGCTCTGCAAGGGGTCTCATGGGAGATTAAGCCAGTCGAGGGCTTTACTGATGACCCCCTGCAGAGATGGTGGGCATCCCCAGGCTCTGGCCTATGCTGGGCCCTAATAGACATAAGTAGCATAGTTGAGATCCTAGTAGTGATCTGTTGCTCTCTGTATTGTTGTTGTGGACTATGGATTCAGGGCTCTGCCCCATGGGCATGTGTCCCTGCCCAGAGGACACCCTCAGCCTGGAGGGTGGAGTATAAGGGAAATGGCTGCGCTTTAGTCAGGAGTAGATTGAGGCAGCCTTCCAGCACAGCATGACTCAGCAGGTTTGGTGCGCAGGCGCGCAACCCCACACATTATGTAACCACACCACGTGAGGCACATTAGGTGATCACTCACATGAACTTGCGCTTGGCTTGGAGCCACTATTGTCTGTAAAAGGTATAACTATCCTGCTGATGCTGTACATATGGCTCATGCCTGGGCTTTTGCCCAGAGAGAGAGAGAATAAAGCCATGTCCAAAACTCCCTATGACTCCCTGAGTGTTCTTTCAGCTACCTGCCACTCATCAACCCACTCCCTTCAGTCTTCAGCTTGGGCTGGAACCTGACAGTTGGTGTGACAGGTGGCCCCAAAAAGAATTCAGATGAAACTTTTTGTACTAAAGCTTTATTTTCATCCCTTCATAATCTGCATAAGTCTTACATGATAATTCATTTGTAAATACCAAATTAAGTGGGCAAAAAAGCTCATGGCAATAGTCCAGGGTCTTTACTGCTAAGATTTGGGAAAATATTAGGGTGCTGGGATACTTTTTTTTCCATTCAGTAAACAATTCTTAAAGACCCTTAAAGAAGGTCCACCTATGTGATAGGCAACAAATTATAAGAGGGATATGGTTTGAAGTGTTTCTCTTTCCTCCTTGCAAGTCAGGGAGCTGGAAGGGTCAGCCATGTCTCATCTAGACCATGTGTTTGTCATGATCAAACCATGTTTATCTTAAGGTCTTTCAGAGAGAAGGATGGATTTCTAGCTGGTCTGTCAAAAAAGGGTTTGCTGGCTGAGTGTGGTGGTTCACGTCTGTAATCTCAGCACTTTGGGAGGCTGAGGCAGATGGATTGCTCGAGCTCAGGAGTTTGAGACTAGCCTTGACAACATGGCAAAACTTCATCTCCACAAAAAATACAAAAAAATTAGCCAGGCATGGTGGTACATACCTGTAGTCCCAGCTACTTGGGAGGCTGAGGCAGGAGGATTGCTTGAGCCCAGGAGGTAAAGGCTACAGTGAGCCATGATCACACTACTGCACTATAGCCTGGGCAACAAAGTAAGACTCTGTCTCACAAAAAAAAAAAAAAAAAGGTTTTCTAATTATGCTAGGAGCCTCATTCCAAAGAGTAACATCATTCATGCCCTGCAGTTTTTCCTGACGTGTAACACAATTTCCTGCAATTGAAATCACAAGACTTTATGCTGCCTTTGACCTGACAGGCCTGTTGAGACAAGGAAAACATAAACCTGATGGAACCTGACTCATCCCACGAACCTAGGCTCGTTAATACCTAAATTCAAAAACAATACAACTGTCATTCAGTCTTTGTAAAATGGCTGCTGTTGATTTACTTTATCTAGGCCTGAACTTTATTCCAGGACACTTTATAGGTTAAGAGAGAAGCCAAACACTTGCCAGTGATTACTCTTGAAGAAGCACTGGATGTGGAAGATGTGTTTTAATTTCCTCATATTCCCCCAAAGAGGCCAAGGCAGAGGTGTACCAAGGTCAGGGCTTAGGTGCATTCATTTAGTTTCAGTTGTTTTGAATTTCCCCAGGAAAGAACAGTCATTTTTTTACTTTATTTTTTATTTTCTTAGGCAGAATCTCACTCTTTCACCCAGGCTGGAGTGCAGTAGTGTGATCTCAGCTCACTGCAACCTCCGCCTCCTGGGTTCAAGCGATTCGTGCCTCAGCCTTCTAAGTAGCCGGGACTATAGGTGTGCACCAACAGGACTGGCTAATTTTCGTATTTTTAGTAGATACAGGGTCTCACCATGTTGCCCCGGCTGGTCTTGAATTCCTGACTGCAAGTGATTCGCCTGCCTCAGTCTCCCAGAGTGCTGGGATTGCAGGCACGCGCCACTACACCCGGCAGAGCAGTCATCTTGAGAGAGGACAGGCAGATATTCTTGAGTGCCTTGGCTGAAATCCAGCCCAGGCCAGTGGCACCCAGAACATGATGATCCCTGTTCACAGGAAGCCTATGGCCAAGAGGCCCAGACTTGGTAGTGATTAACAAAACATAGAAATTTTTCTTACCACCTCCAAGAACTCTATTCATGAATATCAGTGTATTAAATATATGGCCGAGTACAGTGGCTCCTGCCTATAATCCCAGCACTTTGGGAATCCCAGGCAGGAGGGGCACTTGAGCCCAGGAGTTCAAGACCAGCCTGGGCTACGTAGTGAGAGTCCCATCTCTAAAAATATATTAAAAAATAACTGAGCATGGTGGCCCATACCTGTGGTCCCAGCTACTCAGGACACTGAAATGGGAGGGTTGCTTGAGCCTGGGAAGTTGAGGCTGCGCTCCAGCCTGGGTGACAGGGTGAGACCCCCTCTCTCTCAAAAAAAAAAGAGAATAAAATATGAAGATTAGGTCAGGTGGGGTGGCTTATACCTATAATCCCAGGACTTTGGGAGACCAAGGTGGGCAGATCATTTGAGCCCAGAAGGTTAAGGCTGCCGTGAACTGTGATTGTGCTACTGTAATGTAGCCTAGTTGACAAAGAAAGCCCCTATCTCAAAAAAAAAGAAATAAAGTATGAAGATTGTAACACTTACTCTCTGCTTTGAATACTGCCAACAGATGATCTGAAATTAATTCTTCCACTGAAGATTCCAGCTTTCTTTCTCCATCAATTATCCAAGGAGTTTGTGGTAGATTCCTGGAGTATTTATTATACCTCCCTGAGAAAGAAACAATCAGGCAGCCTGGATGAAATGGAGTAATTAACATAACAGGATAAAAAGAGAAGCAACAACTATAAGGGCCAATATCCTAAGTGCTACGATATAAAACAAAGCCTATCCTTTACCTAACTAACAACTCAATTTGGAGACCTGGGACACAGACATGTAGAGAATTAAATAAAAACGTTTAAAGTAACAATAAAATAGATGAGTAAATATATGGTATGAATGGTGCATCAAATGAGTTTGAAAGGAATGCTCAATATATTTAATTTGATTGGCTGACTGAACAAATTATATAATATTATTAATGTACCAAGGATTAAAAAAAAAAAAAAAAACACAACCAAACTTGCTTTTACAACTGATGAATAAAGCTATAGTAAGGCAGGTAGCTTTCATTGCCCTAGGATAGGATATTATAGTCAGGGCTGAAGAGCAATTTCACTTCAGCCATTACTATAAAACAGTTGTAACTTTCGAACAAAAATTTGTCTGCCAGATTACCTTTAGGGAAAGTCAATGAACAATTTCTTTCCAGGGGAAGCCAAGTGTTTAGTCATTTTGGAGATAATAAATTGTTTTTTCAAGTTTGCTTTTATGTTATAAAACAGCCTCTGTCCTGCTGTTTTTCTCCAAACCAGTTTTGGGTCACTGCAGCTACCCATATTTCTACTTGGCCATCTCTGATGAAAACTATTAAAACCTAGGAAGTGTCATTTCCTTTTGGCATGGCATTTAAAATAACTGATCTCCTAAGTGATCCTTTAGAATGCCCACAAAACCTAAAATAAGTTTGGCTATTGATTCTACTTCTCAAGAGAGTAAACTTATTAGAATCTAATAACAGCAATAAGAATAAAATAGAACAGGAGTCAGTTGAGTTTTCAGAAAGGAGAGTACGTTCACAGTGTATGTATATTCTAGACTAAATATTTTACCAGCCACAAAAACAGCACCATGAGCACATTCAATTTCAAGAACAGTGCATACAGCCTTTGGTGAGTTTGGAGGACAAGGAAACTGCCTGCAAAACAAAATAAATTTTATAGCTATTTTCCAGACATAATATTGAATCACAAAACTTAGATGAATCAGCATCGTCTGAGACATACACAGAGCCCAAGTCTCTCGCTAACTTTTAGTTTCAGAACAATAAAGGTCTTGCAGGCCTGTGGAGTAACAATTTTAACATATGAGAGTGGCAGTAAGTAAATAAGGGCTCTGCTGCTACCTTTCACCCTTGGGAGGCCTTATCTTCCTAGGCAAAAACTGCAATTACTCTTGCACCAACCTAATACTTTCCAATAGTCTCAAGATTTGAGGGAAAAATCCATACAAAGGAAGTGGAAGCCCCGTCAGGCTCTTTAACCATTTTGCTATCCATGGTCATGTGCAGTTTACTGCTGACTCTACCCCCCTTATCACATCATTGTTTGAAATGTATTGAAGGATCTTCTGGAAAGAAAACTACAGCAATATTTTATTTAATAAAATGAATGTACCAAGAATTAAAATGTAAGGTTTATTGCATTTATTTTATTTTACCATATTTTAACAAGTGAGGAAACTCATGAGCCTTCCTCTCCCTTTTCTGGAGATGAACGATACTAGGAAATACAGGACTAAGGATGTAATGGGCGTAGCACTGGGCTAGAATGTCAGGAAATCTGGCTCCAGATCTACTCTATTACTAGCTTAGGCAAGTCAACTCCCTCTTTGGACACAATACCCTCTTCTAAAAGATCAAGAAGTTAGACCTGATTTGGCTGGGCACAGTGGCTCACGCCTGTAATCCCAGCACTTTGGGAGGACGAGGCGGTTGGATCACCTGAGGTCAGGAGTTCAAGACCTGCCTGGTCAACATGGCGAAACCCTGTCTCTACTAAAAATACAAAAAATTAGCCGGGCAGTGGTGGTGCATGCCTATAATCCCAGCTACTTGGGAGGCTGAGGCAGGAGAATCACTAGAACCCAAGAGGCAGAGGTTGCAGTGAGCCGAGATTGCTCCACTGCACTCCAGCCTGGGCAACAAAGGTGAAACTCCATCTCAAAAAATAAACAAATATATATTTTTAAAAGACGTTACACTTGATATTAATTTGACAAACATTTACTGAACACCACTATATGCCAGGTACTGCATCGGGGTTGGAGAGATAACAATGACTAAGACACAATCCTGGCCCCTGAAATGTATCATCTTGTTTCAGAGATAATCCAGCTTATCTCTAACATTCCCTTTATTCTAAAATTTCATGACGCTTCTTTGTTTCTATACTTCTACTTACTTAAGGAAATCCTCTTCTTTTATCTTATTCAAGGCTTTCATAACTGCCATTCTAGTGAATACAGACTATATAGGGTAAAATGAGAAGAAAAGACATTTTATTATCCAGACAAGAAAACGTCAGATGTGAAACATAGAACATGGTTGGAGAAATTGTATCATTTCATTACATCATTTCATATACTTAACATGGAGAAATACTTAAGCTTTTTAAGAAAATAAATAAAACTTAAGCATTCATGTCAGTTCTGCAACTGGCACACCTCTATAACCCTTCTCTTCAATCTGGTCTATGTCTATAATAACAGGTAGATCCAGCAGAACAGGTCTTCTTCACCACACTGTCCCACTTCTCTCAAATTATGGTATAATTCAAATACAAAAAAATGATGACATTGTAGGAAGTGTGATTTAATTTTTTTTTCCCTTGACTTCAACAGGAATTTAGATTGACTCAGCTACCTTTTCTTTCCTACATCCCTTCAGAGGTCACAGTATGTAATTTAGGAGTTGGCTGCCAGGGTAAGGGGTAAAGCAGAGTCAACCTGCTGGCCCTGGCATCTAGCAACTCAGTCTCACTCACCAGCCACAGAATAAGCAAATCCACTGTACTGAACAGAAGGGCATCTACAACAAATGTTCCACTTGGATTTTTTAAGATAAGAAAAGCCAAACTGCATGGCAGATATACTAGAACTAATTAGTGCATATATACATGGCTTACTATGATAAATCACAATTATTTCTTCTGTTATGAGAAATCACATTTGACTGAAAAGGATTACAATGGAGGCAGCTCAACAGTTTATCACCAGTCAAAGGAATGATTTTTTCAAAATCATATTCTAGGGACCACCATGGCATTCTACAAGATACCATAGGGTTACAACTGAAATTAAGTGCCTGTTTGATAAGATATGAAATCTTAGGACTGAAAAAAAACTCAAAAGGTCATTCAATTTGCTCCCAGCCATGAGGCAAGCAAACTATACTTGAGTCTACAACTCCCACTGGCCAAATGGTGTGGTGTCTATGATGCTTTAACAAAAATCTCTTAATCCTATTACTTGATGCCTACTATTATATTTCCTCAAGGGTAAATAAAATAAAACTAGGTCTTCAATATAGATACATCTTACAGGTTATTTGGGCAGAGCTTCCCAACTGGCGTGGCAAAGCAGTGGACTATGGTTGTGCCAAGATGTTGATCTCTTTAGTTCAGAAGGGCTGCTGGGCAGGGCCTCAGACAGTGGAAACCCCAGTCCTGTTGCTGCCAATCTGAAGCAACTCCATCCTGTTACGCTCAGGGTGCTGAACAAACATGGTAATATTTTAGATGTGCCATGATAAGAGAAAAGTAGGGAGGCGCTGCTCTCAGCTTGGTCTGCATTTCTAATTATTTCTGCGCAGGGCATTAGGCAAATGTTACAAACTTCTTTCCCCCAGTTCTAAAAGGCCCAGCAATTAGTCAAAGCAAGAGGCAAAGCCAACAGATGTATATTTGACAATGAGCTTATGTTCTTTTTAACAATCACAGCAACAAAATGAATGTAAGTAAAACTGTAGGAATGCCTAAGTCTGTGTACGAAACCACCTACGAAACTGACGCATGAAAGATGACCAATATCGCACCACATCATTCTATCCTGACATGATACGAGCTAAGAGTGTATGTTAACTAACTTGTCCATTAACATGAAGATTAGCTAACATTAAGATGATAAGGAAGAGTTTGAATAAAACACCCTTTCTGCAAATATAGCCAGAAAGAGGCCATGTTAATTCAGGACTGTCCTAAATAAAACAACTTACTTTGGATTATATATTGTAAACCTCAATTTCTGGAAAATGGGTATCAGCTGAAAGTTTGGAATGCTACTGACACTTACCATTGATTTTCCCAGATGATGTAATTTGGGGTATTAAAATCTAAACGTCGAATTTAATAAGTAATAGTAATATCACCGAAACATTGATTCTAAATTTAACACCGTCAGGGGAACAATCTAGACACTGACACAAACATGAGGATGTTTGTGTGCTACAACTTCCTAGCCGGAGGTGAAGGTTGAAAAAGTTGAAAAAAAAATAAAAACTAATGTAGCAAATGGAAATATTTAAAGACTGATTCTTAGTATAATAGAGTTGCCATGTTTCTAATGCATATCCTTTTTGTTGGAAATTTGGATATTCAGCTCAGACAAAACTCACTCAAGAGTAAGAAGCAGGAACCTTTCCTTACCTGTTTGTTTTTGGCTGGCTTAAAACAATCTGGGCATATCGCAGCTCTAAAATAAAATTCAAGTTAATGTAAAAGGTTGAGTTTATTTTGGGGTAGATATAATTCAAATATATTTAATACAAAATGGCTGCTAAACTCAGGACATCAGGAGCAGACAAAATGAGTCCCTGTAGGAGCTACGTCGGTTTGCCCAGGAACCTATGTTCAAGGACACGTTTTACTTTATTTTTTGAGGGCACATTTTAAACCTACTAAGACATAACAAGTTCTGAAATGCTTATTAGGAAGCATTTCCTACGCTTATGAGAAGCAATACTATTTTCATGAAAACCAAACAGCATTAACAATTTTACACCACTGACGTTGTTTACATGGCAACTTACAGGAAGTGGCAATCCTCAACTGTTTCTGGGTGAGCAAAGACCACACTCACTTCAAACAAGCTCTAAAAATTATAAAGACAGTTTAAAAATGAGCAAAAGGAAACTAACATCTAACAACTTATGAATGGAAATAGAAATTAATTCTCAAACATTGGCTCAGAAAAGAATGACCAGAAAAACTGGAAATACTACTGCTCTCAAATCAACTTGTTCACAGGGCAGCTGTAAAGGAAATGGTTTTTGTTTTTTTTTTTAACTTCTAAAACTCAGTCATTAGTGATCCTACCAAAAAAGTTTTAAAATAAATTTGTATGCTTTTTGGACAAATGTGTAAATTAGGTGTGAAGATGAATGAGAATTTACAGAATTGAAAATAAATAATAATGCAAAGAAATGAAGAATTATTCTGCCAATACTATGATTTAAATTATTAGCAAGGCAAAAAACATACATTCAGATCCCTAAAAACCGTATGAAGCTTTTTTTAAAGTGCTCAAACGTCTTAATGTATTTGTAATTTTTTTGTTTTATTTCAAAAATTGTACACTTAAATCATAAAATGATCAAATACAAGGTAGTTTTTCAATCCCACTCCACTGAAGCAGAACCATTAACAATTTGATGTTTTTTCTAGACATTTTTGTGAATATAAATGTATATGTATTATTTTTTAAGACATGCTTTTGAAAAATTGCTTTAATATTATATCATGGAAATCTTTTCAACTCTAGGGACTGTCAGACATTTAAGCTGTAGAAAATTTTTCTGTAACAACAACAACAAAAAATGCTACAGTAAACATCCTTGTACACCAAAAAAGCATGATTTTATACTTTTACCTCCATGGAGAATACACAAAATTCCATATGGGGGAAGTGTGTGGGGGGAGAATAGCTAAAAATGCCATACTATGTTACAATTTTGTCTTTATATTTACTGAGTTCATTGGATAGTTAGTAGACCTATTAGCTACTCTAGAATCACAATAATGAATAGCTGTTTTTTTGTTTTGTTTTGTTTTTTTTTTGCTCCTTATTCTAATCTATACAATAATTAAAGTGAACAACGCATTCCTTTTATTCAGGGAAACTTCACTCAACCCACATCTTTTGTTTTCTATTTTCTGTTCTCACTTATATGACATGTAAAATTATTTGTGCTTCAAAACTGAAATTTGAGGTAAAAATATTTTGCATTAATGACTTCTCTAACTTCCAAAATAGTTTCATTACCTCATTTCCTCTTCATGCTATCTGAGAAGTGGTTTTATTCTCTATTCTCTCAATATTCAGTTTACAGAACAGAGCATATTCTTACAGAAGGAAATATTACTGCATAATTCAGAATGGTTTTGAAAAACTGTTTAGCTTTAGTAGGCGGTTTTGTGATTTTATTTGAATAGGGGTGTATCTGATATTCAGGGAATTTCCTTCTAGCAAAATGATGAAACAATGAGGCCATAATATTAAAACCTAATTTAAGATGACCTTCCTGTTTTCACATCTGGAAGCCTGTTGAGTCTTCCCTGAAATTCAATCCATTTCAGAGACTGAAGTAAGGTCTGCTCTGGAAAAGGGAAATGTTCTGCTTTCAAAGGCAGTTACTGCCTAAAAGTAAACAGGGGGATTTGAGATACCAACAAGGTAGGATTGAGCCCATACTCATTGTAGTTGAATAGGTTCTGTCCATGCATTTGAAAACAAGACTAGCCACAGATAAACCAAAATTAAATAGTCCAGAGTTGACTCTACATTTGCTTGCAGTTATTTATATGTTGCTTTGCATCAAGTCTGTTCCTCCAATTGAACTATAAATACATTAAAGGCAAAGATTCATTTCTAACCTTTTAAGGTCAATTAGGGCACCTGGTACCTTTATAAGTGTCTTAGGTCATAAAGAAGTTTTAGGGAAAAAAAAAAGAAATGCTTTGACTTCAATTTAAGACTATCAGAATTTAACATTTGAAAAGCTTAAAAATCCTTCACTGGATTATTTAAAAAGAAGTTTTTTTGGCTAACCAAAACCCTGCCATATAATTAAGCAAAACTAGTAAAATCAGAGAATAAAATTAACAATGCTGTTGACCCGATACCTTTCCATCAATGGGAACACCCAGTTCCTCTGAAAACAGGGGGTGAGTTATCCATTTGTAGGCTTCTTTTAGCTGAACTATATCATCTCTTCCCAGCGACAGACTCTGTTTTCTGGATAACATAAAAATTAATTCACTGACATGAAAAACTTTACTTTTTCTATTAAAGGCAAGAATTTATGCAATTATTTTTAAAATATTGATTGAGTGCCTAGTATGTACCAGGCAGTATTCTACACATTAAATAGAAAGCAGAGAACAAAGCAGACAAAAATTCCTCACCTCATGGATCTTATACTCTAGTGGAATCATGGAATTACTTTTTTAAAGGCATATAACACAATTTTTAAAGCTTCAAAGTCAAAAGCACACTATTGGGTTTTTCTGAGCTAGAATTGCCAGATTCCAGGATTTGGAATACATCAGAAGACAGAAAGATGGGATAGAGATGATTGTTTGCTGCTCACAAACTATAAACTGTGTATTACAATAATCACATCCACATTTTAATGCTTGCTTTTCCTCTCTTGTTGAAAATGGGGCTTACTTTTGGGAAATCAACATAAAAGTTGTACTTTTTAAAAAACTTTACTGATGAAGAAGAAATATTAAATCCTAAAGTATCAATGTTCTGAAATGCTCATCAATGTATTATCAGATAAATAGCTGAATAAAAATTTGACATTCCCCCAAAATATACTCAGGAGACAATAAATAGGTTTTGGGAAGTCCCTTTTATAAATTCTAGCTTTAGTTTGTAACCTAAAATTGTGATAGAAAGGAACTTGAGATAAAAGGGATGAAAAACATGGTGTGGTATTATTAAAACTCCTCTACTCTGCTGAGAACACTGGGATATTACTAACAAACTAACAAGCCCACATCATTCAAATAATTAAAACTTCAAACCAGCCTTATGGCTATTTATAGGACTGCTTTTAATGAAAGAGATGTAAGGGCCAACTTATGCATCACCCCTTTTAATGCCCAATTTTCACTGATAGAAATTACTCCTTATAGGCAACATCCATTGTTATTTAAGACCAAAAGACACTACTAACTACAGGTCAAAAACAAAAAGGAATTAAGCTAATGGCTGAATGTAGTTGATCAGAAAAAAAAAAAAAGAATATGCAGATCACTGTTCCTCTAAAAATGCAAAATATGAAATAGTTGACCCAAAAAAAAAAAGAAAGAAAGAAATAGTTGATCTACCCATTCTGTATCCAGCTGAGAATATAACTGGTTACAGAGATAGCTTTTGTATGCTTTGGGATTGTGATTTAACAATGAAATACCCAGATAAACTCTACATCTGACAAATAATCAAATTATTTCTCTATATTCAAGAACTTATCCAAATACTGTGTGAGCTTCATAAATTGTTCCTAAATTCTCTGAATATCAGAAAGATTTCAGGTATTTTAAAAGACTATCCTGACATTGTGTCAACAGTTCAACTATTTAATATTTGCACAAAATAGCATCACAGTTGAAAGTAAATAATATATGAAAATACATTTTAAAGAATAAACGTTTGAAACAGAAAACACAAGAATGGAAACTATTTTTTAAATTGTTTAGATTCTGGAAAGTCCAAAGGGTTGTTACAAAAGCCAATCCCAAAAGTGAATTAAAACATTATTTAAGAAAACCGGTGTTTTAAATCCTTCACAGTCTTTGACATATATTTAATGCATTTGAGTCTAGTTTAAAAACTTCAACTATAGGTAATTTTTCCCTCCAGATTATAAAGCCAGAGGAAAGGGTTAACAGACAGCTTGGAAACCTCATCCTTATATATAAAGCAAATATAATACTTAAAATGCCAGATCTCCAATCTGAAAGTTACATGGGGCTAATAACTTTCCTAATACAATTTGGGCTAAATATTTTCATAGAGGTCCCTAGCATATACCAGATTGTCCTTTTAGAGGGATTAGTACTCATTAAAGTAAATTCAGTCCCCATTTCATACTTAGGAACTACACTTCTCTGTCTCTTCTCTGTCAGATAAGTGCTTATGAGGGTGTCAGTTGCAATCACTTTTGCTGTAGATACAACACAACCACCATTCTAGAGAAAAGATGAACCAGAATATGCAAGGCAATTAATTTTTTTTGTAAATTCCCTAAATCAATTCTTTAACAGCAATTCCTCCACAATCTTTTCAACCCAGAATGAACTAGGGACACTGAAGGAAAAAAACCAGTGACCTGTGTTTCTTTCTGTTCCATTATCCCTATATCAATCAGAATCTTTAGGAAGAACTAAACTTAGTTTAAAATCCTTTGATAAGAAATAAAAACAAGCCAGGAGCGGTGGCTCACGCCTGTAATCTCAGCACTTTGGGAGGCCGAGGCATGTGGATCACCTGAGGTCAGGAGTTAGAGACCAGCCTGGCCAACATGGTGAAACTCTGGGTCTACTAAAAATACAAAAAATTAACCAGGCATGGGCACTTGCCTGTAATCCCAAGACAGGTGGGAGGCTGAGGCAGGAGAATCGCTTGAACCTCGGAGGCAGAGGTTGCAATTAGCTGAGATTGCACCACTGCACTCGAGCCTGGGCAACAGGGGAGAAAATACATCTTAAAAAAAAAAACCGAAATAGAAACAGTAACTCATTAGCAACATGGATATAAATTGAAAACATTTAGAAAAACGCATGCTCTGACTATGCTAGCAAATTTCTAAAAACATAGGATCAAGTTTTACTGTTACACCAGAATCTAAACCATTTGAGACTAATTTAATAAAACCTAACGAAACCCCCAAACCTTATGTAGTTATTACCCTTTTGAAAATGCAGATATATAACACAAAACAAACAAAAAAGCCAAATTAATTATTTTTCTATAAGTCACTTAACCAAGTATGAGATTCTAAAATAGAAATTTATACTTCTTCCTGGATTTTTCTCTCCAGAGTATACAGGTACTGCCAATAGTCACATGGCCCTTTTTTGTACTGGTATTTTTTAGTTTCAAACTCCAAAATATTCTGGAGAATTAAAAAAAAAAATTTTTTTTTTTGAGACGGAGTCTCGCTCTGTCGCCCAGGCTGGAGTGCAGTGGCGCAATCTCGGCTCACTGCAAGCTCCGCCTCCCGGGTTCACGCCATTTTCCTGCCTCAGCCTGCCATGTAGCTGGGACTACAAGCGCCCGCCACCGCACCCGGCTAATTTTTTGTATTTTTAGTAGAGACGGGGTTTCACCGTGTTAGCCAGGATGGTCTTGATCTCCTGACCTCATCGTGATCTGCCTGTCTCGGCCTCCCAAAGTGCTGGGATTACAGGTGTGAGCCATCGCGCCCGGCCAAAAAAATTTTTTTAAACTCAGTTGGGAATCAAATCCTGATTTGAAGGAGGCAATTTAGAGACTTTATCAAACTTACTGTGAATATTCATATGTTTTGTTGCAGAAATATCAGTATGTTTGATTATGTAGTACCACCCCAGAGCCTGGGGGGGAGGAAGGAATGATATACATGATCTTTAACATCATATCACATTTTAAAAATCCAAAAATTTTATATTTCAAAACATCTTTGGCCTCTAAGTGTTTCAGATAAAGGATTGTGAATCTATGTTTTCTATGTCTTACCTATGTGTAAACTCATTGTTGTTCCGCCAGTTATTCACTTTCTATCTTTTATGACATAGCTTTATAGTTTAGTTTCTAAGACCAATATAAAATTTATTTTTAGGCTGTGCGCAGTGGCTCATGCCTGTAATCCCAGTACTTTGGGAGGCCGAGGCAGGTAAATCACCTGAGGTCAGGGGTTCAACACCAGCCTGGACTGTAACATGGTGAAACCCCATCTTACTAAAAATACAAAAATTAGCCAGGCATGGTGGCAGGCTCCTGTAATCCCAGTTACTAGGGAGGCTGAGGCAGGAGAATCGCTTGAACCAGCGAGGTGGAGGTTGCAGTGAACTGAGATCACACCACTGCACTCCAGCCTGGGTGACAGAGCAAGACTCCATCTCAAAAATAATAATAATAATAATAATAATTAATAAATAAAATTTATTTTAAAAATATAACTGCCCAAACTACATTACATAAGTACCTAATGCATATAAACATGTATTTACATTCATATTAAAACACACAAAAAATGAATCTGCTTTAATAAACTACTAATATGTTATGCAAATAAACTAATGAAACAAGGTTGATACCCTAAATGTATACAATAAAAATTGGTTATTTGTGCTGATTTCTCTAGTAGCTAGTGAATGCACTATAAAAATAGAGATTGTAGTAGTAAAAGTACTTTAAGAACCAGGTAGCTTGTATTTAAATGGTAGTAAAAATTCCCTACCTAAATTACTTACCCCATTTCCTGTTTTACCAGCAACCATGCAGCATGCTGTAGGCAATTTAGTCACACCCAGAAAGAGAAAAGGGGGAAACATGTTCAGTGAAATTAAGTCTCAATATCATTACTGAAGTGCTTAACTATTTGCTAATCAAACTCCCCTTTTTAGGTGATGAGTTAGTATTCAAAAATTTACCAGTGACCTCAGTCTCATTTAAAATCAGAAATGAGGTAAGATTTTATTTTGCAATGCTGGTTTACTGTGGCCTAGGAATTTAGCAGGGGTATCCCCCTCCTCCTTACAGATTTCTATTTCTCATTAATGAGGTATGAGTGTTTTTCTTTTTCTTTCTTTCTTTTTCTTTTTCTTTTTTTTTTTTTTGAGAGGGAGTCTCACTCTGTCACCCAAACTGGAGTGTAATGGAAGGATCTCAGCTCACTGCAACCTCTGCTTCCCAGGTTCAAGCGATTCTTCCACCTCAGTCTTCTGAGTAGCTGGGATTACAAGTGCCCGCCACCACACTCGGCTAACTTTTGTATTTTTAGTAGAGACAGGGTTTTGCCATGTTGGCCAGGCTGGTCTCGAACTCCTGACCTCAAGCGATCCACCCGCCTCGGCCTCCCAAAGTGCTGGGATTACAGGCGTGAGCCACCGTGCCCGGCCCAGATTAAATGAAATTTATGCAGGCTGGGCGTGGTGACTCACGCCTGTAATCCCAGCACTATGGGAGGCCGAGACAGGCGGATCACGAGGTCAGGAGATCGAGACCATCCTGGCTAACACGGTGAAACTCTGTCTCTACTAAAAAAAAAAAATACAAAAAAATTAGCCGGGCCTGGTGGCGGGGGCCTGTAGTCCCAGCTACTCGGGAGGCTAAAGCAGGAGAATGACGTGAACCCGGGAGGCGGAGCTTGCAGTGAGTCGCTGCACTCCAGCCTGGGCGGCAGAGCTAGGCTCCGTTTCAAGAAAAAAAAGAAAAGAAAAAAAAGAAAAGAAATTTATGCCAAATGCTTTGCGTAGTAAGTGACTGACACTGAGATTTCTGTTTCCTGTTAGACTCCCACAGTTTTCACCTTAAAGAAAGGCAATGATATATCCCCCACAGCACACAGTATTTTGTAAACATGACGGAAACATTGTATAAGTCAATAATATACCATATGTAGTCTGCTTCTACGTGTCACCAAAAAAGGCCAATGATTATCATTCACATCCACTTCAGGACACGGCTTAATTTATAGATGTGCTGTGGTTTATATGTAGACCTGTCCTTCTAAACTAACAGGACTTCCTTCAAATGACCAGTAGGGTACTATATAGACTCCTAAAGACTGATGATCACTTGGAAAGGCTGACGTGAGCCAAGGAGAATAAATTAATTCCTAGCTAGGCACAACCTGTTACCAGTGATGGCAACGTGGACCGTCCAGAGTGGCTGCTGCCATCAGGCCTGCTGTAGCAGGGAGGTGTGGGTGGCAGTGGCAGGAGGGGTTGTGGGAGCACCAGTGGCGGCGGTGGGACCCCTGTGCTCCACGTTCCCAAGGCAGCCAACTGTGCCACCTCTGCTCTCGCTTGGCCAGCCAGGACCTGTTCTCAGGCCCAAAGCCTCCGTCCCAGCCTCAACCTTGCTCCCCATCGCCATCTCAGAAGCCCACGAGCACCTGGCCAAAGGCGCAGCCAGGACTCATGGGACCAGCCGTCACAGAGTCAGGTTAATTTGCGTGGGGTTGGCTGGGGCGGCCTCTGCTGTCGGGAAAACGCAAAGAGGCAGGCAATCCCTGGAGTCTCACCCAACTTGCGGCTGCGGACCCAGGCATCTCTGCACTTTCAGGGACTCTGGAAGGCCCTCCCTTCCTCCCACAGGCTTGGAGGTGTCTGCTCCCGCTGCCTGGCCTCTCCCTGCTCCCTGTGCTTGCACCAATCTCTGAGCAAGGTTGGGGCTAAGCCTGGGCACTGTCGCAGCCCAGCCAGGTGTGTGCACACTCAGGGCAGTGCTGACAGGCCAGCTCCATGCTGCCTCAGCCCCCTGCGGACTTTAGGCACCAACAAGCACGGGAGGGAGGCCGAGGAGAGGTTGAGGGCAGTTTGGCCCTGGCCTGCAGGCGCCCCCTGGCAGGAACAGCCAGGGGGCAACGAACAGCAGCAGGAGGCAGACAGGTTCCTGGGCAGAAAGCAGCAAGTCCACAGTGAAGCACCACCTTCAAGTTGGGGAGGGCCTGAAGCCTGGGGGTGGGGCTGCCAGTCCCTGGGACAGGAGTAGGAACTTGTGGTCCTTTATCCAGGCCCACCCATGGCTGCCCATGGACCAACTGGCACACACTTCCTCCCCTCTGAGGCCCATATAAAGCCCCAGACTCAGCCAGACCCAATGAGATGAGGGGACAACCAGCAGCAGAGAGGTGCGACCCACCCCAGGGTCTCTCTGCTCAGAGCTGAAGAAATGACAGACGACCTGCCTGCAGAGAAGAGCTGCCCTCTCTGCTGAGAGGTGAAGAAATGACAGGATGACCTGCCTGTAGAGAGGAGCTACTCTCTCTGCTGAGAGCTGAACACTTATCCACCCTGGCTATGCAGAGGAGCTACCCTACCCACTGTAGGTCTTCTCTGAACTGTTCTATCACTTGATAAAGCTCCTTTTTTTTTTTTTTTTTTTGAGACGGAGTCTCGCTCTGTCACCAGGCTGGAATGCAGTGGTGTGCGATATCAGCTCACTGTAACCTCTGCCTCCCGAGTTCAAGTGTTTCTCCTGCCTCAGCCTCTCGAGTAGCTGGGACTACAGGCGCCCGCCACCATGCCCATAAAGCTCCTTTTCATCTTGCTCATCCTCCACATGTTTGCATACCACATTCTTCCTGGACGCAAGACAAGAACTTGGGACCTGATGAATGGTGGGACTAAAAGAGCTGTAAAACAAACAGGGCTGAAGCACGCCCCTTGCTCACCATGGTGGGGACAAGAAGAGGAGAGAGAAGAGAGGAAGAGAAGAGCTGTGGTCCGGAACCCAGACCGAGGAGCTCCCTGAGCCAGGGCTGTGACACCCTCTTTAGGGCTCTGCGGTTTCTAGCGTCTCCAAGTTTCCAGGTGCCACCATATTCCCCGGGGTCAGCTGTGTAAGCTGTTTATGGTATGTCTGGTCCAGCCGCAGCTTCACAGGGAGCCATGCCTGCCCCTGGAGCTGCCTGCCCCACTGCAGCCAGCGTGCCTGCTGTGTGCAATGGCTGGACCCCATCCTCACTCACACACCCCTCGCTACTCCACGCCTGACTTGCTCTTGGCAGGCATGGGACCCAGGCATAGCCTCCCAGGCCGAGTGGGCAGAACTAGCCTAGCGGGTCAGAGAAAACTCGGGCAAAGATGCCACTGTCCACAGAGGCTTCTAGCTGGCGAAGCAACACCCCAAGGATCCCGTAACACCAGTGCCTGAATGTCTCACCAGTACCTTCTGATTTGTTAGTTTGTTTACTCTGCTAGCTCAACCTAATACCATTTATAATAGTAGTATTACAAGACCCCTTCCTTCTTTTCTCTCATTTATTCGAGCCTTATTTCAAAATGCATAGGCATAGTATGATGGTAATTTTTTTTTTTTTTTTTTGAGATGGAAAAAATCACCCAGGGTGGAAAAAACCACCCTGTCACCCAGGCTGGAGTGCCATCACGTGATCTTGGCTCACTGCAACCTCTCCGCCTCCTGGGTTCAAGCAATCCTCCTGCCTCAGCCTCCCGAGTAGCTGGGATTACAGGTGCATGCCACCATGTCCAGCTAATTTTTGTATTTTAGTAGAGACAGGTTTCACCATGTTGGCCACGATGGTCTCAATATCTTGACCTCGTGATCCACCCACCTTGGCCTCCCAAAGTGCTGGGATTACAGGCGCGAGCCACTGTGCCCGGACAGTATCATAGTATTATAATACAGAAACCTAACTTTAGGTTTTACTTAATTTCTGGGACTCAATTTTCTAATGCGTACAATGAGAGGATTACTAAGATGATTGTTATTTAAACTTTTCTGGATGGCTAAAGGTAATCATTTAAAGACACTGTTATTAAACTGTTTTGTAATATACTATTGAGACCTGTGGGACTTAGGGAGCATTCAAAAAAAAAAAAAAAAAAGAAGAATGGTCTCCTAAAACTGAAACTTTGTCATTAATTTTGTCCTGCCCTTCCTTCAGCCTCATTCTTTTTCTTTCTTTCTTTCTTTTTTTTTTTTTTTGAGACAGAGACTCGATCTGTCGCCCAGGCTGGAGTGCAGTGGCATGATCTCGGCTCACTGCACCCTCCTCCCCGTTTCAAACGATTCTCCTGCCTCAGCCTCCTGAGTAGCTGGGGACTACAGGCACCCGCCACCACATCCAGTTAATTTTTATATTTTTAGTAGAGACAGAGTTTCACCATGTTGGCCAGGCTGTTCTCAAACTCCTGACCTTAAATGATCCACCTGCCTCGGCCTCTCAAAGTGCTGGGATTACAGGCATGAGCCACCGCTCGTGGCCCAGCCTCATTCTTTAAGAGATCAATAAACACATGTCCTTATATATACAAAAATATTAATACTTCCCTTGCAGGAATATTGTGAGGATTTAATGTGTTTGTAAAGACCCAAGTCATATTCCTGGCAAATACTGAATAAATGGTAATTAATGCTGTTGTTGAACTGAAACCTTATCTGTACTTTACAAATAATAAAATTCAGATTTATCCCTTAAAAGATTTACAGGACTTGATCTCATTCCATCATATTTCCAAACTGCTTTGCTATAGCTAGTTCTGAAACCTCCAGATTCAATGAAATCTGAGCTATAGAAAACTATCTGTCTCTTCTTTAAGGGATCTCAGACTCTTCTGTCTTTTCTTAGTGACCACTGTGTCTCTTCTTTTGAAGCAAATTCTGTTCTCCACAAGTCACTTTCAGGTAATGTCATCAAGTCTGCAATGTATCCTGCCATCCTCTAATTATATAGTAGGGCGGAACTGGAGGTTGCCAAGGGAAACCAGGTAACCATGTGTAATACATGAAATTAAGTCAAATGTCTTTAGTACCCGAGACTTGCTAAAGGGTTTTTCCTCCAGCATGCCAACAGATTGGACAGAACTAATCACACAGCAGGGGCTTAAAGGCTGAATCTGAAATCAGTCAGTATTGCTCGATTATCAGTTGTTACCACAAGCTAATAATGCCCTGGACCTGCTTCTGGCAAGGAAAAAGAAGCACATTTCTCCCTTTCAGATCACCAAGATAATTTTAATAAATGTTCTGTCCCTTAGTCAATGGGAAAAAATCCATTCTCTAGAGTAAACAATTAAATTTTTCCTCCCCAACAGAACCAAATGGCATTAAAGTTACCAGGTTTAATCAAATTTGATACCAGAGGCAGTATGTCACCTCCGGAAAATTCAGAAAACATGCAATTAATCTTGGACTATATTTAACTTTATTAGAGAATGTTAGGCAAGTCCTAAATGGGGCAGTTGAATAAGTGCTTGCTAAAGTGCTTGTGTACTCTGCTAACACTAACACACGCACCATAGACGAGAATGTCTATGCCTGGGAATGGTGTTTGAGCTTTCTGAGTTAGAGGTTCATCTAGTACCAAATAATGACAGTGGGTAACAGTAGGACCAGGGATTGAAGTTGATTCAAGCAGAGGTGACAGAGAAAGGATAGAGACAGAGAGAGGTGTTAAAAATGGTGTGTTGCAAAACTACAATTCGGTAAAGGTGGACACTTTGGGGTGTATTATGTGTGTTCATAAGTGAGGTTAGGGGTTCAGCGATTAAAGATGAAACTGGAAAGGTCAGAAGGTTTTGACTGCCAAGCTAGGTCATGACCCCAAAGACTGAAACCATAACATAAGATGTGATTCATTTATGTATATGCCAAGTCTCGCGGCAGCACAAAGAAACATTTGATCTTTAAATCTTCTGTAATTCATCAAGTTGCAATATAACCATCATTTTCATACTATTGTTTTTCTTGTGTGGCAGTTTAAGAGGAAAATATGTCTTGTGCCAAAATATTTCTTTATCATACATGGGAAAATGTAGTGTGAGAAAGTCATATTTTCCAGAAAAATGAGAGAATGTGTCCAGCCCACTTTTCTCATTTTTGTTGTCTATCTGGCTCTTATAGACATCTGAGTTAGACATCTGAGTCTATAATTCCTGATGGAGGGAAACAAACACTAGATCAAAAGGCAGGCTCTGCTTCTATTATGTGATCACTAGCAAGGTAGCTTCTCTTTCTGGGTTTCTCAAACCGTAAGAGGAAGGTATTCAATTTATTTAGGGGTACTGCCTATGTGGTGAGATTGCAATTGAGAATGCAGAGATAAAAAATCAGTCTCTGCCCATGAGCAAACCCATGAACTAAGGGAAAAGGATAATAAACATTAAGATATTAATAGTAACAGTAATGAAAATAATTAAAATAGAGTGGTGGGGGCTGAGACAGAGATACACTTAGGAGGCGCATGTAAAGGATCCTTGGCTCAGTCTTGCAGGAGAAGTGACACCTAATCTGAGCTTTGAAGGATCCGCTACTTAGAATTCATAGGGCAGGCCGGGCTCGGTGGCTCACGCCTATAATCTCAGAACTTTGGGAGGCTGAGGTGGGTGGATCACCTGAGGCCAGGAGTTCGAGACCACCCTGGCCAACATGGTGAAACCCCATCTCTACTAAAAATACAAAAATTAGCCAGGTATGGTAGTGTGCACCTGTAATCCCAGTTACTAGGGAGACTGAGGCAGGAGAATCACTTGAACCTGGGAGGCGGAAGTTGCAGTGAGCTGAGACTGCACCACTGTACTCCAG